ACTCAAGAAATACTGAGCGTAACCTCCACCATTCGGAAAAGATGAGCATGTTCATAAAGTGCGCACCAGTACACGCCGGAGTCCTGTACCTGCAGCCTCTCCATGGTGATGGTGACAATCCCCTGCTGAGTGTCGTCCTGGATCATGACTCTGCCTTGCTGAGGTGTCCTGAGGTACCCTCGAGGCTTCCAATTCGTGTTGACCAGTACAGTACATGCTTTCCTAGTTCCCTCTTTGCACCAGGCTTTGCTCATCGCCCCATAGTCAGGGGCGCTGTATGGACACCAGACAGACACGTTGCCTGACTCCTTGGCTGTGTATTGTTGGGTCCCTGGAAAACACACAGCATGTTTGATGAGATCCCAAAGCAGGCACAATGGCACCCCTTCCCCATCACTGGAATACATGCTGTGGGCTGAACGCTCCCTGGGTGTCCTTCTACCTCCAGACCTGAGGAGCAGAAGGGGACAGGAGCCAGATTACTTGTGCAGAGGTGAGTCACAAATTGGGTGGGGTCCTGTCCCCTTCCTCTAGTTCCCCCAGGGACTGCATGCTCACAGGCGCTCAGCCCGTAGGGTCTGGGAGGCAAGGACCAGGGAGAGCTGGCAGCTGTGGGGCCAGAGCAAGAGCAATGCCTGGCAGTGGGGGAGGTCTCCAGCAGTGCCCAGCGTGGGCCAGCCGAGTGCTGAGCTGGGGAAGCTGCTCCTGGAGCCCCTGGCTCAGCCCTGTGGGAAGCAGTTGTGAAGAGCGGCCCCATTTACGGGAGCTCACGGGAACCTCCCCTCAGTCTCAGCTGGGAGCAGACAGAGCATGAAGGGCCAGGCCTGAGCTTTGGCTCCACAGGCCCAAGGGGCAGCTGCCAGTGTGTCCGCCAGAGAGACAGGCAGGCAGGGAGAGATGGGTGTCAGCTGTGCGGCGGCAGCGCTGGGCTTCTCCGTGGTGTGGCGCAGGACGGGAGGGAGAACAAGCAGGGGAGGTGGGGCTGAAATCTGCCAACAGGCACACTTGGCTGCCAGTAGGTACTCACTTTTGGACACAGAGAGCCTGACCTCCATTATCCGGGTGAGACTTCTGTAGAGAGCACACCAGTACACGCCTGTGTCTTGGGCCTGCAGCTTCTGCATGGTGATGGTGACAGTCCTCTGCTGAGTGTCATCCTGGATCAATGTTCTGTCTTCCAGAGCTTTGCTGTTATGCCATGTTGAAGTGTAATCTGCCCTCACCACAACTCTACAACCAGTCTGACGTTCTTTTTGACACCAGGCTTTTGTCTCTGTGGTGTACGAGTGGGTGCTGTACGGGCACTGCCCAGAGAGACTGTCCAACTCCCACTTGTGCAACTCTTCAAAACAGCACATGTGGTCACTGACCAGCGAGCAGTGGGCACACGGGCATCCACCACCCAGCCTGAGCTGGGCGCCTGGGCCAAACTCTGCCCTGGGGCAACTCCTTCATGGATGGCCCGTCAGTCAGGGCAGGGGTGAGGTAGGGCAGGACAAGAGGGAGCCAAGAGCCTGCAGGGCCAGCTAGGTCTGCAGGGGCTTTTTCACACCGTGCTTGTGTGAGCAGGGAAGGTGGGGAGCAAGGCTGGGGAGGGTAGGGGGCTGTGGGGGTCCAGGGCAGCCGCTCAGCTGTGTGGGAGAAGGGGGACGGAGCGGGGGAAGGAATGATGTTGCTTTCCGATAAGATTTCAGTTTGTATGGAGAAAAAGGTACTCACCCTTGAAAACATTCAGTGAGATTATCTTTGCTGGAAGATACCAGTCACTGTAGGAAAGGTAAGCACAAGAGTATGTGCCTGAGTCCTCTGCCTGGAGGTTAATCATGGTAATGGACACAGTCCTATGCACGGGGTTGTCCTCTATTGTAACCTTCCCCTCTGTGGCCCGGGCTGCGTATGAGTATTCTGTTGGGTTGGTCGTCTTCACTAAGACCACCCATTGGTTATCTCTCAGGCGGAGCCAGGCTTTCTGCTGCTGGTACTTAGTCTGTGCTGTGTAAGGACACTGGATATACAGAGTGCTTCCTTCTGATCGGCTCTCCTCAGAATCAGATGTTTGGGTTTGGAGACCTGTAAATGTCAGATGTGGTGAAGGAGAGGGGAGCTGATGCAGGGCTGCCCACAGCCTCCCAACGGGCATGGGGAAACTCTGCCTCTGACTTCCTCCATGGGCATTGTGGCTGGAGAAACTCTGAAAAATGAGATCCATTCCCCCCTGCTAAATTCACCTGCTTGGAAATGGGAAGGTTGATTTCTGGTGGGCAGTGTTGAGATTTGAGCTGGGACTGCAACTGTGATTTAAAACCCAGTATCTTTGATTTAAAACCCACAGACAGGCGGGCACTAGAGGTGTTGGACTTTCAAGCCTAAATGGAGCAATGGTGGGAACTAGGGCTGCCCCTTCCCTCCCCACGAGTTGCCGCGAGTTGCCCAGCTCAGAGTCCAGCTGGTGTTCAGTTCCCCCCCACTGTGAAGCTCCACAGGCAGCAGGAGGTGGGGAAGGGTGTCCCACTCCCCCTGGGTGTGTGGCAAGCCGGAGGCATGCCCAGCTCTTCTCTTACCTGGGAAGTAGAGCGGCAGCAGGAGGAGGACTCTCAGCTCCATGGCTGTCCTCAAGCCCAGGGAAGGGGCATTGCTGGGGGCTGCCCAATGTGTCCCGTTCAAAAGTGTCTGCCTTGTGAGCCCTCTCGCATCACAGTGACGCTGTTGGAGGAAGTGCCTGAGGTGTTGCTTTCCCTCGGAAATCCTTCACCGCGTTTTGCAACGAGACTGATATTAAAATAATTCCAGGGTGCATTTGGGGAAGTGGCTGAGAGCAGAGATTGGCTTGTCCTGATGGCAAAGGCCCTTTGCTGCTCTCGCCTGGCCATCGTTACACTCTGCCCTCATGCTAGTGGCAGTGGGGGACTCCTTGGGCTGGGCTGTCCCGAGCCATGGAGATAGAGCAGGACCTTTGCCCTGGGCTAGCCCTTCTCTCTGGGCTCCCAAGATGCCCTCTGCCCAGTCCCTTGCTGGAAAGTCTCCTCAAAGCCAGGGTGGCAATATGTCCAGGGCTGTGTCTGCATGGACCCTCTCATGGGCCGTGCTGTTTGGTGCCTAGCCTAGAGTGGCCAGCTGGAGAAACCAAACCAGAACCATTTGGCTTTTGCACATTACACAGTAATGTCTCCACAGGCACAACTGAAGTGATGTTAAGTACAGGGGAAACAATGCAAATATTGAAATAATCCATTCAAAGCAGCTCCTGACACGACTGGCTCTTGGCTCACTGTGAAAATGGACAGCTAAACACAGCTTCCTGGCTCTGCATGTCCGTTTGGTTCCCCAGTATGATTCAGGAACTGGAGATGATAGGGTGAGAGAACCAGGAGTCAGGAGCAGCCTAGTAGGTAAAATGAACTGCGGAGTACAGAGAGCAGAGAATGGGTGAAGCAGGTGGGGCAGAAAGCCTGGGAAATGAAGGAATTTTCTGCAAGGAAAATGAGGAGAAAGGAGTTTCTCCAATTTAAAAAAAAAGAGACACTCACCTATGAAAACAGCCAGCTTAATTTCCTTTATGTGGAAGAGGTGAGAGTCATCATTAGGAGCACACCAGTACTCCCCAGTGTCTTGTACTGTGAGCTTCTCCATGGTGATGCTGAGGACTCTTCCTTTCTGAGTGTCATTCTCATTCTGACTGCTCATCTTTTCTGTACTGACCAAGAAAAAAAATGCACCGGGCGTTCCGCACAGCATGTTGTATGGGCACTCCACAGAGAGACTGCATCTCCCTAGCTACATATCCTTGGCTTTCTGGAAAAGGTCAAACTGGTTAGTAAAGTCCAGACAAAATGTCCAATTACATCAGTTTCCCGCAATTAGAATAAGCACAATATTGTAATCCAATTCACACGCATTTTAGCTACAGGAGGGTCGAATTGAACTGGGATGCTGAATGAAAAATAAATATCCAAAATATTCTGTCCTTCTGAAGAAATTTTAGGATAATATAATCATGTCCCCAAACAAAGCAAAGCTTATTGTAACAGAAACATCAGGAGTCTTTGCTCTGAATTCGTCAGCTGAGCTGGTGATCAGAGAAAAACAGCGAAGACAGAGAAAGATCTGAGGCATCTTATGTACAAGAAATTACTAAAACAACTTTTTGTCTGGAAAGGAAATGACAGCGGTGATATTAGAAAAGTCTATAAAATCAGGAATAGCAGTGAGAGAGAGAACAGGAGCAATAATTCACTGTCTGTTATAAGAAAGAAGTCACTAGTTAGGAGACAAGGAGAAAAGGAAATTCTCCACGCATGCATCAAGTGTGGAGTTCACTGCCACAGGGTGTTTATATACCAGAAGTTTTTATGTGTCACCAGAATGAGTAGATGAATTAAAGAGAAAAAAGAATTTAGCCATTGCTATTATAACAAAAATATCCTCTCGAGAAAATCATTGGAGGCTGGGAGAGTATTCTGGAGAGTTTTTTCTATGTGCTTCTCTGTTTTTGTACTCCTTCCTAATTCAGCCAGTGTTGGAGACCTTTGGCTATTCCTCAGTAAGCTGGGAGAAGGTAATACAAAACACTAAAAGGTAAGCAGAGAAAGTGAGGCAGAAATCTACAAAATGCCCCATGTTTTCCATAAAAAGAAATACTGACTCTTGGAAACAGACAGCTTAATCTCAATTATTTGGGAAAAATGAGAACATATACAGTGTGCACACCAGTACACTCCTGACTCTTCAACTTGCGCTTCTGCGTTGTGACAGTGATTGTCCCCTTCTGGGTGTCATCAAGTATAGTGCTTCTCTCAGAATGAACCTTGTTTTGTGTCCTGGTTTCGGCTGGGATAGGGTTAAATTTCTTGCTAGTGCTGTGGTGGTATATGCTGATAGGTGGTAATCGGTGCTGACCAAGATATCACATTTATCTTTATCTTTCCTTCAGCACTAGCCTTTCCTTGTAGCGTTATAGTTTTGGATGTTATAGGGACATACAACAGAGAGACTCTGAAGCTGCATAGCAGAGTGGTATTGGACCACTGCAGAACGTAAGAACCACAGTATAAATCCCAGCTAAGAGCCATGATGACACATCTTTCCATGAATGACATATCCACTATGGGGTAAAGTCTTCACAGAAGAAATCCAGACCCTGGCTTCAGCTGGGACCTCAGTCCTGTGTACCTCACACACCACCTGCTCTCTCTGCCTCTCCCATAACAACCTATTTTCCCACACTGCCCCAAGTTCTGACAGGAGGAAGCTGCTGGATTTAGGTATAGTAGCAATTTTAAGATAAAAGCGCTCCATCTCTCCTCTCCTGTTACGTCTATCACAGCAGAGCTGGGAAAAACTCATCAGTGTTCACAGCTGAGCAGCCTCAGCCCATTATCAAATGAATAAAACCTCTGGTAGAGGAAGTCATTCTTTTTTTCAGACTTTGTGGAAGAATCTAGCAAGCTAGGAGTTGCTGAGTAAATTCTTAGGCTGCCTTATCTCAGGTTGTAGTTTTGGGAAGAAAAAAAAAAAAAAAGCCTCTCGCAAAAATATTTGAAAGAACATAAAACTGAGGTAAGCCTTAAAATAACTTGTCCTTTTTTCACAGAAATGGACAAAAAGGACACTAATGTAACAAATTTTAATAGCATTTTGTCTGAAGTCTTGGTCTGAGGAGTGTGTGATCTAGCAATAAGGTAATACAAGGTTAGGGAGAAGGGGAGTCTAGGGAACATTCAGATGTTTCCACCAGTTTTCATGGTTGTCATATGCATAGTTTTTATAGCCATTATTTTTGTGCTGTCTGCCTGTTTATCAGTACAAACCTTGCAGTAAATAAGATGGAACAAGGGTAGGGAAAAGGACTGTAAGAGAGCGGGCAGCGGAGTATTTGCAGAAGCCAGTTCTGCAGTGTTTCTCGTGGCGTGGGTCCATCCATGCCCTGTGCAGTGTCACAAGTTGTGTGAGAGGATAAAGCACCAGGCTGGCAGAGGGAATGCTGTTGTTTCAGTGCCGGCTTAGGAATATTTCCCTGTTCAAGAGGTTGTGATATGCCATATAAGGAGAACAGACTCCTAGCCATATTTTCAAAATTTCCAGTATTTAGCTCTCCACTGAAAGAGAAGGAATGTTGTATCTCAGCATCCCTCTGCACTGCTAATAGGAAAATGGAGTCTTTTCCTTATTCCAAATTCATTTTTTACTGTATTGTAAAGGATAACACAAATTTACTTTAAGTAAAAAATTTGATCTTTCACAGAAAGCAAATATATTTTTCGGTTAAAGATCAAAAATTTGCACTAAAGTATAGTTTTCCTCAACCAAAAATTGCTGACTCTCTGTGAAGATCTGATGTAGCAACTGTTCTTTGTGTTGTAGTGTTGGGGGATTCCTTGGTTTTAATCTGTCCTGCTTGAGCATGAGTCAGAAACAGTCCCTTAAAAAATGACAAAATTGTGGTGTGTGGCTCAGTGCAAGCTCCGCTGTAGTTCTGCATAAGTTCTTGTGATGGCTGATGGGTTCAGTGTGTGTATTTGAGAAAAAGGGAGGGACCAGGCAGGAAACTGGTCATCAAAAGATGAGGAGATTCTCCAGCTTTGGTTACAGCTTAGTACTGTGCTCAGGGACAGATCTTTTCATACCTATTCAAGCTTTGTGTCTAGAGATACAGTGAGCACAAATACATATGGAATTATATTCCCTCTGTGGAATAGTTAACAGGCCTGAGCTGGCTCTGTGGAGGCTTCAAAAGACTGAGGATATAAAAGGTTCGGTAAGGAAACAAGACTATGTCAGTTGTGTGTGATAGTAAATCTGTGCTAGTCATTCCTGGGGGCTGCTGAAATAGTATTACACTGTTGTCATTTGGATGATCTGAGTTCCAAAATTATTAGCAACTCTTTTATGTACATTTGCTTCCTTGCTGCCTGCCAAAGACTCTCCTTTTCCTTGACAGAGGCTTTCAGAGGGATCCTTCCCTTCAGAGTTGCTTTTTTGCTGCATCAAAGGTGCAGTGCTCTGTGCACTTAGTCTGGTGTGCCTCAGTACCTGGGATTCTGCATCTTAATAATCAACTCCTAAGAGGCATTTAACAGCCATGAAACAAATGCTTTAAGGCCTCCTATCTTGATTCACACAGATTTAGCTTGTCCTTAAGTAGCTGTGATTTCTATTAAATATTGCACATGCAGAGAAGGAATCACTGCCAGGACAGTTGTCCCTTGAGCCAGTGACCTCATGGTCCTTTCAGGGAGTGGTGGAGCTGGACCAGGCAGTGCCAGGGGACGTGTTGTTTGCATGACACACTTATACCTGTTTTTGAAAAGGAAACTGTGCCCAGAGTGACTTGGCTTATGGTCCTGGAGAAGCCAGAATCTCCAGGTAATAGGAACCGGAGCTGGCCCATCTCCTTTCGTAGCAGTGCAGAGAATTTCTCCATCTGAAAAGAAACTTGCTTTGGTGGTAGAAACTTTCAGAAAATTCCTTTCCTGATGCTGGAATATCATGCATTGTACAGGACCTTAGACAAATGCAAGAGAAACATTGTACCCGAGCTCCCCTTGCCTCTTGTACTGCCTCACCCCTTCTCTTACCTGAAAAACAGAACAGCAGAAGCAAGAGGAATCTTGGCTCCATGCCTGTCTTGGAGCCAAGAGAAAGGGCTACACTGAAGGCAAATCAGATCATCAGTAGACGTCTTCTCTCTGTACCGTCCTATCCCACACTGGTACTGCTGGAGGAAGTGGCTGAGCTTAGTGGCTTACCACTTGGCTTGGCACAGAAATCCTTCACTGCTGTTTTACAACCGAATTCATACTTAAATAATAGAATTGTCCGCATCAACAAAGCTTGGCCAGTTCAGAAGACACAAATGCATTAGGCAGAATTCAAGGAGAAGCTGTTTATCTCCCCATTGCATCAATAGAAGCCACACTTCACCATCTTGCTACACTTTCAATGTTGTCCCTGAAAGACCCCCTGACGCTCCCACTAGCAACGTCATTTAAATCAGCCAGCCCTTGGCCTCAGAAAAATGGAGAAATGTTTCAGTTTTCAGAGGCACATAAACTTCCATGTGGCTGATTCTGAACCTGGGTGCTTCGCAGGCCTGCGTTCAACCACAGTGGAGGTGAGAGGAGAAAGACATGGGGTGGTGCAATGCCACATCCATGTATTTATGCGCTCGCTGGGCAGAGCTAACAGAGGGAATGGGGAATGGCTTCTGCAGCTTTTCCCCTCCTTTCCCTTGGCCTCCTGGAGGAACTCTGCCTCCTGGAAATTAGGACAAAGCCAGCTCTCCTCAAGGTGAGCAAAGCCACCTGTGGAAACCTCCAGTTTAATCATCAAGCCACAATGTGTGCATCATAGCTGCAACAAAAGTCTCCCTTTAGCAATGGCTGTCACAGCTCTGGGGTGGACTCACTCATGGCTCTTCCACAGCTGGCTCCACCCTAAATAGCTGCTTTGGGAAGCACAAGCAGTGGCAGGTCTTATTTGTCTTGATTCCATGCTTTCTTGGCCTTACTCTTGTTCTAGCTTTTGTAAGGATACTGGAGAAGGACTGTCCTTCCACTCTGCTCCCCAGACACCTTGTGCTTGCCATACTGGGAAACATGCCCCTAGTCAGTGGGTCTTGGCAGATTCCCTTCTGCCTCCCCTTGAAATCCCTGTGCCCTTCTCTAACCTTCAAGGCAGTGACAGTA